CTACCTCTTTTGTGCTTATTTTACCTATATATATGTATTTTATTGGATTTTAGCGGCCATTTTGAAAAAAGCGCCCTCCCGCGAAAGTTCTCAGGTTACGCCCCTTTTACCTCACATATTCTGATTCCCCATAAAAAACTGGTCTAGAAAAACCATATGAGAATTTCTACCTCTCCAAGTGGCACCTATCTCAATTATAGCCTGGTCTATTGCTTAATGGACCAGCAGTATTGATGCAGCACATATCATCATCATATATCATTATGGCAACCGTTCATCAGTTCCTGATGCTGGGAAACAGCATACAGTTTCACAGGACACTATTTAGTTTCAAGGTGTACACCTTTTTTTTGATGCAGCACATAGTCTCTATGGAATTAAAGACACGCTACTATCTTATATTTTACTGAAAAAGAGCTACTAACCTTGGGTACAGATGGAATGGGATTGTACTTGAAGTTGTCATGCATAGTCTGAAACTTCCCCCCAAAGATTGCATCCTCAATTATTTCCTCATCAGATATGACGTGATAATCTAGTGCACGAAGGCTCCAAATGCTGATAGAAAATATAATTTGATCAACATAAAATTAAAAGATATAATTAATTCATGTGATATAATTCAGCAAAAAGGTGACGGCAATAAAACTAAAATATAATTCTGTAACATATACATAAAAATAATTCTCAAATAACATAATGCATATTTTACATAAAGATTAAAAACACTTCTTTAATTATTTTTGACAAAAAGATGTCTGAAAAAAAATAAAAATTTATTATATTGTTGGAAAAATTAGTAATATTTTCTCTAGTATTTTTGTCCAGATTTTCAAATAATAAACAATCATAATCATAATAATAAATAAAAATATCATAAAGTATCAATTGTTAAAGTGGTTGGCCAAGTGGTTACATCTCTTATTTGATCCATTACCCAGGGGTCAGTGACATGTTAATACTATCTTGGATTGTAAAAGGCACTAATTATTTCAAGATCGTGTTGTATAATAATTAGTGATTATTATATCAATTGGAATAACATAGGTAGGGGGTAGGAGATTAACCCATAACTCGCAGCTGAATTGCGCATGGGCGTGGTCCTGAACACCTAGCCGCCGAAAGAGGCGCTTATAGTACAGTACCTTCATGATCACAGCGACAGGAGCTGATTTATTACATACTGTATCTCACCTGTTAACAACATGATGTCGGTAGCTTTTTTTCAGACTGATTGGCGTATCAAATAATGTAAGCACCTGTAAAGACTGAGCTGCTCCAATATTATGTACGCAGTCTAGCTGACTGATGCTATTGTTATGTAGGTATAAGATCTTTAGGGAGAATAGGGAATGCCAGAAGTCAGGACTTGGTAGGGTTGTAATCTGGAAGAATAAACATACATTGTGTCTACAAAGTAGAAAATATAAAAGGTGGTGTCTATAAATAATATAATAATCTTGATATAATTAATTTTAGAAGTTAACATTTCATAATATTGTATGCTCACTTTAGTAAGTGTTTGAGAAATTAACATCATAATTTGAACCAGAGATCCTCAGAATCAAATTAATAAACAAGGTATGACGCCAAGCTTTTATTTTTTGGTTTCCAATATGGATAATGGTATTTAATAAATAATTGACAATTAATTGATATATCACTTGATATTAAACAAGATTCAGGATTATTTTATTGTCAAAAAAACCGGAAATTCTATTTGGGGGTTCCATTTCAATATATACAGATACAAAAATATATACAATCATCGAAAATATAATAATAATAGAAAAAAGTAACCAATACAATTATGAGAAAAGATAAGGCCTATGTACAGAGTTAATAAATACAGTAAAAACTTGTGTAAAAACACCTCAATAGAGGGATTTAGCGATGGGCGTCACGTGACCTAACAGTGTTGGATATAAAAAATCCACTGACACAGCGGTGTTTTACATAGCGATTTCTATCATGGTCCTTATTTATTGCTGTAAAGCTCATCATAATTCCCAGTAAACTATACCAAATTGATTGGAAATTAAACTTAAGAATTTTGCCTCAATGTTTTGCTAATGCTGTAAAGGATACTGGCTGCAAACATTGAGATTTTTTCGACAAATGTTAGGCCTAGGCCCCTGCACATCTATGACATGGTTAGGTATGCATGATGGCTTCGACCTGCAAACTACGCTGCAATGTTAGGGGCAGCGAAGGTTTATGAAGGATCACTTAAATTTCAAAGCATACAATCCAAGGAGAACGCTAGGATAAGTAAATAAACACTATTTTGAACAATCATATCGCCTTTTACTAGCCATTTACCTCTCACGTTAACAGTAGGTGGTTGTTTTCGCAAACATAACATTATCTTTTCCTATGCTATCGCATTTATACCCAAAATTGGTCATGTGACCGCCTGTAAGCAGTCATCGTTAAATCCCTCTATTAGAGTTAAAATGATGATTGATGTATAAAAATCATTCTATATAACCCAAAGATTATGAATTAATATATTCCAGCAGATTCAATGCCAGTTTTACATCTTCCATCACTAGTGTTGTCGCAACTTCCATCATCAACATCATCATTATTGAAGTTGGTAACCTCCGACATCAATATTGCCATATCAGCAAGCTTCCACATCATCTCTACCATCGTTATGATTATATTATATAAAAATTGAGTAATTATAAAACAAAAATATACTAAAAGAATTTTACCTGGTTACTACTGACATCAAGCTTGATAAGAGCCTGGCAATAAGCCAGACTATCAATCTTTGTGATGTAATTATTAGCCAGACTACATATTGTAAGGTTTGCACAGAGATAAATCTGGCCAACATCACGCAGGTGTACGCTTCTGAGTTGGACAAGTTGCACATCAGCTAGGTTATCTGCTTTCGTCTTGCAATACCTGTGTTCCAGATATTTACGATTTGGTGACACAATGTATCCCTTTGCCTGAGCTTGACGCAAGAATCCTTCATTTCGCTCCTTTTTCAACAAAGCTCTCAGTCGTAAGGGTTTTTCTTGCTCAAATATCCAGGATGAAATCAGATGTCTATCAGGAATAGATAACATTGTACTTCTTGTGTTTTAAAATCACACCATTCAATGAATTTAAAGCCTGGTCTCATTCATTCTGAACCTATTTTGTAACAAGAAGAAATTCATTTTAATCTCCATCAATTCATCATCATACACATGAAATCTATCTATATATTCAAAGTATTTAAAAGTTTATAAACAAGGGCCTAGGCCCAGGCCCTAAATTTAGTTTGTAGGCCTAGCCTATCTATAGCCTAGGCCATCTCTGCTGGTCCATGTGTCATTTCTCTAATGAAATTTATGAAACCAGGATGGTTAAAGTATATTCCTAACTTACAAGGCTAGTCTAGGCCTAGGCTGCGCCTTTAGCTCCTATGGATAGCTAGGCCTAGTCTACCTACATTCGCCAGGCTTGATGACGGTAGGGCCTACATTAGTACAACCAGGCCTAGCTAGGCCCTAGGCTAGCACAGCAGGCTAGGCTAGGCCATTTCCTCTAAAATCTAACTAACAAAGAAAACGAATAATCTTAATACAATTGGGGCATTAATGCTTTGTAAATTATATAATTATTGATGAATTTACTTACTTTCCTCTATTAAAGTTGAATTTAATCTGTATTTCCCTAGCCCAGCACAGCCACAATCGTGTCGGAGAGTGTAAATCTGTGCTTTTGTTGTTTGTCAACGTCTCGCTTCAGTGCGTGTCGGCATAGCAACATTACAGTAGGTTTCTCACGACACGTCATCACTACTCGCAGAACTTTGAGTACCGTACTCGCGCGAATAAGCAAGCGCCCGGGCGCTTAAAATATTTTTTTGCACTTTCTAAGGGGCGCTTATTCAAACGGGGCGCTTATTTAAACGGGGCGCTTATGGAAATAGATGAAAATCGAGGGGTTCTTATGGGAAATTATTAAATTCAAGAGGCACTTTTTGAATGAAAAAAGAATACCGTACCGTATATAAGGACATTACCGTATAAATGGTGGCGGAAAAGATAATCGTCCAGAGAACATGGCTCATGACAAGAATGTGTGAATATTTACATAACAGCAAAATAGCAGATGCAATTAGTGGTGGTGGGTAGTGGTTAGCTTGTTGATCATCGGCCGATTGAGATTAGCAGAATGGCAGGACCATTGTATTTTTTCTTGAAAACTCAGATGAGAATGTGCTAAAGGTCGGAAAAAGAAAAAGAAGAGTAGGACTATAGACAATATGTAAAAAGAGTAAAGTTGGAAATATACTATCTGTCCAGGGATCAGAGCTCTCATCTATCCAAGAGAAATATCCTCATTTTGATATTGACCTAAGAAGAATGTGTTTCCACTATGCGGCTCAAATCATGCCAACAACCACAGTCCCAGGATTGATTGGATTATTGACTTGCTAAAAAAAATCTTAATGATATTATTGAGAGAGCGCTTATTCAAATTAGAGGGTGCGCTTATTCAAACGGGGCGCTTAAGGAAATTTTCACGTTAGGAAGGATTCGAGAGGGGCGCTTATTCAAACGGGGCGCTTATTCGTGCAAGTACGGTACTAAACAGCACTGCCTAACTAGTCTAGTAGAGAGCCTTATTTACTCATAAAAAATTATTGCTTAGTGTAAAAAAAAATAATAAATAAAAAATTAAAAAATAAAAATAAAAATAAAGATAATAATAAAAAAAATTAATAAAATAAAAAATAAAATGCCGACCGTAACATTTGAGTCGGTCAGGCGTGGCCAACACAATTCTTTTTTTGGCCTTATTCTCTCTGGAGCAGAAAAAAATATAATTAGGCCTATGCATCAAGGGCCAGTGGTGTAAAGATGGGGCTGTTGAGGCCCTGTGGCTTTCTAAAACTGGGGGCCCTTTTTGGGTCCCGGTTTTTAGATGTGCTCATTTTTTAATCATCTTTTTGTCTTTGTCTTTGTAATAATGTTTTTAACGACGAGTAAATGATATTATATCAGTGGCGAAAGAATTTGAAATAGAGGGGCAGGGGGAAGGAACAGAATTTCACAGATGGAGGGTCTATATTACCTGAGCCCCACCATGGTTGGGGCTGGTAAGAAACTTTATGATTATGACACCTCTAGATGGCCGGAAATGGTACTCGCATAATTTTCATTTTATCTCCATTTTAAATTCTTTTTATACAAAGGGGACCCCTGCCGGCCAGCATTGGTTCCGGGACGACATAGCCACTGGACATAATGTGATATATGTACTACAGTCGATGTCAGAGTGACACATTATGCTGTTATGTGTCAACAAGCCTTTTTGGGTCAAGGTGCTAATCGAGGACCCCATGGGTACGGTAGGGGAATCTTCGGGGCCCTGAATCGGGGGACCTGCGGACCGTCGCACAACAGCGCATAGGCCTGGGTGTTAAGCCATTGATAAGGACCCGAAAAGCTTCCCTCAGACCAGGCCCTCGATTCGCACTCCGGTGCAGTACAGTATGCCATTTCAATAAAAATAATATGACAGATAGGCCTCCTAGGCCTACTAGGTTTGCCTGATGTTGTTTGATAGAAAACATTGAATAATGCACAATTTTAAACATAAAACAGAGTAGCCATGCTCATAAGGATGCATGTAAAAACAGGTCTAACTAAAATCCAAATGATTCTTAATTTAAACTGTCATAAGATTTTTCCATTAAATTTCTTCTTAATTATATAAGAGAAAAATACAATTTAAACAATAAGCCTATCTCATTTTGACTGTTATGAAAATATTAGAATATAGAAAACATTATTAAAATATAAATTTAAGGGTATATGCCTAATTATACAAAGGCAAAAGGAATGGTACTATTTAAACGTCCATTAATTTGTGAGAAAATTTGGTTTTTGTTCAAATTAGTTGGAAGCTAATAACTTTATAAGCAAATCCATTACTGTATTTTGAAGTTAAAATCTTTAATGACAAGATATATAAATTGTCTAGCGCCCTCTATAAGGAGTAAACTTCGGTAGTGCGTGGATTTTATCTCCATTTTAAATTCTTTTTATACAAAGGGGACCCCTGCCGGCCAGCATTGGTTCCGGGACGACATAGCCACTGGACATAATGTGATATATGTACTACAGTCGATGTCAGAGTGACACATTATGCTGTTATGTGTCAACAAGCCTTTTTGGGTCAAGGTGCTAATCGAGGTCCCCATGGGTACGGTAGGGGAATCTTCGGGGCTCTGAATCGGGGGACCTGCGGACCGTCGCACAACAGCGCATAGGCCTGGGTGTTAAGCCATTGATAAGGACCCGAAAAGCTTCCCTCAGACCAGGCCCTCGATTCGCACTCCGGTGCAGTACCCTATGCCATTTCAATAAAAATAATATGACAAATAGGCCTCCTAGGCCTACTAGGTTTGCCTGATGTTGTTTGATAGAAAACATTGAATAATGCATAATTTTAAACATAAAACAGAGTAGCCATGCTCATAAGGATGCATGTAAAAACCGGTCTAACTAAAATCCAAATGATTCTTAATTTAAACTGTCATAAGATTTTTCCATTAAATTTCTTCTTAATTATATAAGAGAAAAATACAATTTAAATTTAAACAATAAGCCTATCTCATTTTGACTGTTATGAAAATATTAGAATATAGAAAACATTATTAAAATATAAATTTAAGGGTATATGCCTAATTATACAAAGGCAAAAGGAATGGTACTATTTAAACGTCCATTAATTTGTGAGAAAATTTGGTTTTTGTTCAAATTAGTTGGAAGCTAATAACTTCACAAGTAAGCAAATCCATTACTGTATTTTGAAGTTAAAATCTTTAATGACAAGATATATAAATTGTCTAGCGCCCTCTATAAGGAGTAAACTTCGGTAGTGCGTGGAAAAGACACCAAACAGTCTAAGCGCGAGTTGTGAAATGTCGATGTTTTCATTTCTCTTTCGGTTTCTGGCAGACGCTAGCCTAATTTGACAGGCTTATGGATATTTACAGATCTAGAATATTTCACAATTAGTGGACAGTACAAATAATGAGATGGAGGAAACCAGCACAACACTTGAAAGCTGGATGCATGTGTTTGGTAAGTACAAACTTAGACTAACCAAGGCGTTAGGCCTAAAGGGGTGTTTGACTCAGCCCTCTCGCTTGGAGGTTGGTAGTATATCGCAGCATGAGAAATGAGATGAGGTATCACAAGTTAGCATATGGGCCTAGGGCTGTGTGTCCTACGTTGAAAAAAATTGCTTCATTCAGGGGAATGTTGAAGTCAAAAAGAAATGAATTTGTTCTGTGAAAATGTTTCTGCAGTAGGATTCTTATTTGTGCTTTTGTATCAATGATCATTCTTTACTGAGCAAGGCATTATGATCAAAAATCTATAATAAGAACATTAATACCTAACTAAGTACCACCGATATTTTAAGTAGCTTATTTTTTTTACATTATTTTTGTTATCTTTATTTTTATTTTTAATGAATTTGTTTGATGGAATGTTGTCATTTGGCTTTATTTACCGAACCTTTAGTAATGATTTTCGTATTTAAGTTGTTTTCTTCATTTTCAATTTTCAGTTGATGTTGGTCTTTTGGATGCACCAGCAATTTTGAATGTGTGCCACTGTTATAAAAGTGATTCTAAATAAAAACTAAACTAAAAGAGACTCTTCTCAATCAAGTCTTTTCCTACATTACTAACTTTATATTGGCTGCCCAATAGTAAATAAGCATATGCCAAAGTAGCGAGCAAGCCCATCAGTAGGCAGGATGTTTAAAGCAGGGTTCTATTTTTTCACGAAAGGGCACACATCCACCCCTGCCCCACCATGGTTGGGTTAAATTTTAAAGATAACACCTCAGAAATGTCAATAAAAATGCCAAATTTCAAATATTTGGAGTTAATTTCAAAAACTTTCATGCAAGTGGTACTTTCTAGTAATGATTTTAAAAGGGCATTTCTGGAAAAGGGGTTCTTTCGAACCCCTTGAACCACCTGAACTAGGTCCCAAAATATAGGTGATATGAGGTGATTTTTAACTACAGTACTTGAGCATGATTATTTTGCTTTGGACATTTTCAAAGAAGTGGTGGGTGAGACCAGTGGTGGCCTGAGAAATTTGCCGACTGGGGTTCGATATGTCCCATGGAGGGGACGAACCAAAGGGTCCTGGAATGAATATCCCTAGTAAGGTTGACAGGGAGAGTTTTTATGGCTTATAGTATAGTATGTGGCCAAAATTGTGCTTTTAGGTCACAATATTAGGGATTGGCCACAAAAATATTATTTGGACAGGCAAATTATTATTTTTGATCCGATGACCTTGTCCTGGTGTCAGATGGTGGGGGGCGTGGATCTGTCTGATGGGGAAGAAAATCCCCCTGTCGCCCACTGGACAGACAGTCAGACAGCGGTGAATGTACATTCAGATTTCCTTCTTGACAGTGGGGATGCAACCTACAGTTTAGTTTTTTTTCTAGTAACACCTGTCATGCATATTGCCTACTGCTTTTAGAAAAGAGTCAGTTTGCATGCAGCTGGGGAATAACATGTGTTGCTGTCATAATTTTCACACACAGTTTCCCTAATATCAAGACAACAATTATTATTGTTCATTGAATTAATTACGCTTGAATTCAGTAATCACACCTTGTGAACATTTTATTCTCATAACTTTCAGGTTAATCATATTACCTTCTTAGATTTCTCAATAGATATATGTAAACTTCACTGATCCTATTGTAATTTCTGGAATAAATAAATTCCATATTGTTTATGTAATTGCTTTGGGATTATGAGTCATAGGTGGTAAGATTTGGGATTTCCACCGGGAGGTTGTGAGTTTGAGACCGGCGTTGCTCACTCACATTGCTCTTGGGCAAGGCAATACAGTTGCCTGTCTTCACCCAGCAATATAAGTTTGCTGTCTTCTTGTATCTGGATATTCTTTAATGAATCGGACTAAGAATGCTCACCAGGGATGAGAGGAGCCTGCATATTGTTTATGATTGATTCTGTATCCATTGAATACTAAAGAAAAAAACCTTAGATGGAAAGGCACTATACTATAAGGTATAAGTGATAAAAATGGTAATAATAAAAATGGGTCTTACAGTACTTCAAGGAACCAAGAAGTGTACACAAATTAAAAAAATATTTGAATTAAAAAAAAAAATTAAACACTTCTACATATTTCAGAATTTTAGCCACCTAGATATAAAATTACTTTTGTCAGTATATATACTTTACTATATATATTATTATATATATCTATATATATTATTACCATATGTGCTTTCTAATATATTTATATTTATATTTATACTGGAGTAGATTTGCAATAAGGAAGGAAAATTTCATAATTGTAATTTGTATTTTTATGACAATAAAAGATCTGTATCTGTATTATTGTTATTATTATTATTTTAATATTTTAGTATTAAAAATGAATACAATCAAGAATATAGTAAAAATGACTTTATATGTAAAACTAAGAGGTGCATTCATTTGTTCTTTTCAGGTAGAACTATGTTAAAATAAGGAATTCGGTCTCTTGTTATGCTATTTAGTATTTAAGTTTTTAGTATAATTTAAGTCTTAAAAATGAATATGATATACACACTTGTTTTCCCAACACGATGATATATTGTTGTCAATTAAAGCTTATGCAAGAATAAATTGACAACATGGTTTAAGAATTTAAGCACGTGGAGGATCAAGAACGAGAACCGGGATGGGAATTGGTGAGAGAATGCATACACAAAGCACAAATGATTTAATGATTCCTTCATGCTCAGGTCCTGTTCATGCATAATGACATTTTAAATAGTTCTTGCAATGACAAGAACCTTGAGATGATGGTCATGCACCGTTGAAACTATGTAGGTTTATATGTACTGTTGAATGTCTCCACTGGTCCACTCAAATTTCTTCGGAATATCCAACTAGAAAAAGTAAGTTTTGGGGTCTGTCTCGCTCTCATGCTTAAGGAGCAAAATCTCATGCATGAATGTCATGCCTATGTTATAAAATATATGTACAGTACTACAATTTGTGACCTTTGTAGCACTCTTACTAAAAATTCTCCATCTACAGTACTTAGAATATCATGGTACCATCATGTATACAACTAGTTGCACCAACACTGTAGATATGTTTTTTTATAAAGTGCTCTGGGATAAGATCAAAGGATGAGCACACTGCCCACTCATGTCAGTGTGAACAAATTTGTGTGGAGACGGCCTGAAGTTCAGGTATTCACGAGTAGAAAGAAATAATACAGATCCTGAATGCATTTCTGAGCATTTAGCAAATAAAATTTCTGTGGGGAGGCGGGTTGGGGAAGGGGTGGCAATTCCCGTTGTTGGGGGATCCCCATTGGGGAGATTTCAAAAAGTCTTGCATCTGTAAACTTGGAATGTTTGCTATTACCAGGGGTTTTACACGTGTGAGGAAAACTTAATTTTTAAAACAAAAAGAAACAGGTCCATCGCCTCCGAATTAGAGTTTGATAAAACTTAATATGCACTAAATATTGTGTCCTTGAAATTTGGAAAATTCGACCTTGAATGTCCTGGAAATTTGCTTGTTTAAAAACGTATGAACCCTGACGTGGTGGAGGAGAAATTTCTCGTATCTTATTGGCTAACATGTAATTTGGAGGCGGGCTTCTTTGATGGACTCACCCAGGCGCGACTGTAGAACTTTGACCTTAAACTTTGTTTACGTCGCAAGTTCATGAAAGTGAAACATGGAGTTGCATTGGTAGAAATTTTAACGAACTTTCAACAGAAAAGAATATCGAAATGAGTGCATACTATTGTCTAATATTTTCAAATTAACTTCGTGTAGGTAAATAAGGTTCTTTAATAGGCCTGTTGCGCTATTTATATTGGTGGTTTTTGTATTAATTTTTGTACCCCAATTGATTGAAGTAGCCGGCGAAAACATTGTAGTAGCCGATCGAATGTGCCGGCCGCCGGCTTCTAAATAAACCCCTGATTAAATAATCATTTTTTATTCTAGCACCTGTAAAATCGCTGGCATACAGAAATATAATTAACAATAATATTTATTAATTTGGAAATGCAATATAATTTCGCAGATTCATTAATAGTATAGTATTGAGGATGTGACTTCCTTATCAATTTTGCAGTGATGTTGCTAAGCAGTAATATTGTTATTAAAAGTACTTGATTACATAAAGATAAATATCAATTTTATTTGTATAATTGAAAATTTGTTCGATGGAAAGTGACAGACTGTTTCACTTTTACTGACAGTTGAACAACAAATCTTATGCACAAAAATTTGTCATAACCTCAAATAGTTTCATAACAAATATGAGCAAATATGGATAATTTTGTATCAAAAAAATATAAATCAGCACTTTTTCTGTGATTGCTATTTATAAATCTTTGAATTTGGTAATTAATTAAATGGTAAATTACATCAGTTTATTAATAGATAATCAAGACATAGTTATCTTACAATGATAGGTGAACCCCCCCTCTCAGCTCCTTCCCCAAGCTCGGGCATACAAGCTCAAGTCCCCCAGTCGGACAACTTAGCCCCCCCAGAAAATATATCCTAGAGCCGCCACTGGACCCTATAGATAGGGCCCCTTTGTGGCCTCTAGGGGTCGGGGCACTGCAGTGCAGGACTCACACCACTGTACTGGAAGCAAACCACTCTACTGTTAAATGTGCTCATGTTGCACCAAATGACTTGTTAGTAAGTGCACCAAAATATCCTGGCAAAACTTTAGTAAAATCATACAAAGTCATGCCTACTGTAAATTTGGATTTGGAAAATATAAATTTCTATATGAAACCATAATAGACATACTTGTAATATAGAGTAAAGGTTTTATTAGTTTACATACTGTACTTTACATTATTTTATCAGCAACTGTATCACATGATGATAATATGAAGGCTACATTAAATAAAGAATGAAGGAACGTACAACATTTGATGTATGAACCGCAGTCTACAAACTTATGTCTGGTGCAGCTGGAATCATGAATTTTATTTTTATTAATCTTGTCATTAATTGAAATCTTTCCATATAAATAGTAGTGCTCTA